GTCTTGTAGCACGCCAACACCCTCTGTCGTTGCAGCACCTAGCAGTCGCCGTCATAGCACATCCATCGCTGCACTGTCGTGCCGCTGGCCGCAGCTCTCAATGTCACCGCTCGCGCCATTGGCGTATTAGTTGAAGCTTTTCTCACACCGACCGAAGCTTTTCCCATGTCGTTTGAAGCTTTTTTCGCGGATTGAAGCTTTCCACCATGTTGATTGAAGCTTTTTTCATCTACGATGGAAGCTTGTTTTGTAAACAGTTGCAACTTTTTTCGTCTTGCAGTGCCCGGTTGAAACTTTGTATATCTTTTGGTTGAAGCTTTTTTTGTAACAGTTGCAACTTTTCAATTTAACAGTGGCTGGTTGAAGCTTCCCCGTTGATGGTTGAAGCATTTTTGTCAACGGTTGCAACACTTGTATCGGTGGTTGTAGCCTTTTTTGTCTCTGGTTCCAACTTTTGCCGGTGCACCGTGGTCGATTGTAGCCTTTTCTAGCTTTCGTCAAAGCCGGTTGTAGCATTGCCCTCATCGTCGTTTCACAGCACCGTTTCGGTTGAGGCAAAAAAAAAGGTCGTCGCTGGAGCGCCGCCGCCAGCTACAGAAGCCCGACAAGGAAGCTTGGACCACAGCTGGCCCTTGGCGCTTGGTTGTAGCAGGGGAAGGGGAGCACGCGGGGTGAGAGCCTGGGATGTGCGGCCGCATGCTGAGGAAGAAGCGGAGGAGCAGCAGGCACAAGAGGGTAGCATGTGCGACAGGAAGAGAGAGAGAAAGAATATGCGAGAGGTGGAAGAAAGAGAATATAGGCAACATAGATGGGCCCCGCATCGTACACATGTCGTCGGTTGCTTCGCTAGAAGCGTCCACGCGTGAACGCGTCAGGCGCAACGTTCGGTCGATGCCCCGGCCACAAACATTTTCCAATATAGAATGTAGTCCCTCCGATCAGAATTAATTGACAAAAGAGTAGTACTTATTTGTTCGCGAGTTGTGTCTGGAAATATTGGTTATGTGAAGTTTAGTACGTAGTTGCAGTTTACATAAAGTTTTCACAAGATGAAAAGAAATAGAAACACTGATTTAGTTTTGGTCTCTCAAATACTAGTGAAGTATAAATTAACCAGTTAACTCTGAAACCGAGTAGTTTACATTTTTCTTTGCATGTTATACGGTCAATGCAAGCATAGAAATACACCGTTGCGTTGAGAATGCTAGACTTACGGACGTATTCTAGCAGGATTTCTGTTACGGACTCACAGAAGAGCTCTGGTTGGAGAAGATTAGGGAGGAGAGGTCCCACCAGCGAAAATCAAGAGGGGCTGGTTGGCGAGAGAGCAATCCGTAAACCCAGTCCGTAGTAGAGTTCTGTAAGTGTAGCATTTTTGCCGTTGCGTTGGTTTTGATTCTAGTGGGTAAAGGTGCAATTACCCTGTGTCTGAACATCTGAGCACAACTCATTTAACTTTATTATATGACTCCAAAGTGAATATCTTGCTCTCTCAAATCTTAGTTCTTTGCAGATCTAGTTTTATATATGTAAAGGATAATGTTGGTTATGACGTGGTTATGGTTTGCCAAATGGCATCCAGTGGACAAATGAAACCTTAATTAAATATATGAAACTTTAAAAGAGATCAAGCAATAGACTAAAGAAATAACATAAATATTTCTGAAATACTACCACATTTTCTCGCAAGAAAACCATGGATTTCAGTGAAGGTTTTCCCTAACTTCCCTAGGAAATTGCTGATTTCTAATGTATCTTGCTTCCCTAGTTTATTTACATTAATTTCCTTTTTAGAACTATTTTAAGAAATCAGAAACATTGGTTTTAATAATAATTGGTTTCCTAGAAAACCAAGTTTTATTTCGTTCGTATTTCCAGTTCTTAGGACAGCTTCATGCACTAGGGGGTATTTCTTCTGTTTTTTATGAAATTATTATCTCCCTTATTTTGATTTTTATGTGTTTTATAGGCTTAAAATTGTGTTTTAATGTTATATTTATCATCATTTTTTAGTTCTTTGTGATTAAGTATCATCAGTGCAAATTCATTGGTGGCTAGCTAAATACTCGTGCGTTGTAACGGGGGCAAACTTTATTCTAGTGGTTCATCATAGAAAAATTTGATCAGTTTGAGATTGAGATATGTTGTGGGAAGGGAATTCATATGCAAAATGTAAGGAAATATATGATGTGTTTGAGATTGTGTACGCACAACTATGTGAGTTGATTTTATTGATTGCTTGTAAGGGACTTCTTGCTATCGACACTTTATTTGATTAGTATTGATTTATTTGCAAGAGATTTCTATCCCCATAAACAAGGAGGTCGGTGTCGGTTCACGGAAAAACAATGTGGTTATCGCGTGGCTTGAAAAAAAATGGTGGGAGAGGGAATGTATCGATGGGAGGGGTGAAAGCGATGGAAGCAAAATCGACAAATGTCCCTTTAATAGTAGAGATGATTAAAATTGCTTTGAGTGGTGGAAGAGATGTAGATAGTTTGATAGATTAAGGGTAACGATTTTTTTTCTATTTCACGGGGAAAAGAGAACACAATTGACTTGAACTTTCCCAATGTTTAAAATAAATTTGTTGGATTTTGAGATAGACAACCGCTCATGTATAGCGCTAGTCTAATATAACATGGACTTTGGTAATCCAAAGATTCTTGCAAAAACAACAATCAAAAGAAAAGTTCTTATTTTCCATTTCATTCATATGACGACTTTACACACACACACATGCTCGGTCTTTGGCGCACTGAGTCTGACACGTCTCCTCCAACTCAGAGTTGGCCAGACGGGCCGGCATGGCATGACACGGCCCGACCCGCCGTAATCATCCTCAAGCCAAGGCCTCCCGCATCCTCGTACCGATTTTGGAGGTTGCGGCTGATTTCTCGTTCTACCCCTCCCCTCCCCCCCGACGAAACGCTCCACGTCTGGCAGGTCTTGTCAGTGGACATGGCGAAGAAGAGATCCAGGAAGCGGGCGAGGAGGAGGAACCCGGTGACCGGCCTCACCGACGACTTCATCATGGAGATCCTGTCGCGGCTGCCTTCTAGGTGTTGGGGAACGTAGTAATTTCAAAAATTTCCTACGCGCATGCAAGATCATGGTGATGCATAGCAATGAGAGGGAAGAGTATCGTCCACGTACCCTCGTAGACCGTAAGCGGGAGCGTTATGAGAACACGGTTGATGTAGTCGAACGTCTTCACGATCCGACCGATCCAAGTACCGAACGCACGGCGAAAGGACATGCGGTGCCCCCATGTGTGGTTTTGGTAATTGATGACAATCTCTATGGACTAACGGTTGCCTTGAGTTATATTTGAAGGATTTGTCCATAGGATTGTCTTGAAGTCCATGTGTTGGTTTCAAGGAGTTTATGAGATGGCCAAAGTGCGTTCCAAGGAATTATCCAAAGATTGGTCATGTGTGAGTTGAGCTTATTGCAAGCATGTCTTGAAGAAGAAGGTTGTGTGATCATTCATGTTTACCTTCAAGACATCATCCAAATGAAGAGAGTTGGAAAGATTCAAGGTTGATCAAGACTAAGTCAAGAGTGAATCAAGTTGATCAACTCACAAAGCGTAGAAGAAGTACCGAGAGGGATCAAGTGATCCCATGGTATGGTAAGCATTGTCCATTACGCTTTGTGTACTAACCCATGGTCTACGTGAGAGTTCTTTGTAGGGTTAGGTATGTTTCCATGGTCTTGCGTCAAGTGGAAGATCTCATACAACCCATGGAGGATGACATCAAGTGGTGAGCGTCATCAAGTTTGTAGTATGCAAGTTCAAGTGAAGCAACATGAAGAGTGGCTCACCCATAATGGAGTATGGGGGAGCAATCAAGCTTGAAGCTTGCCGTCCATTGTGGTGTCAATGGAATTGTGAATATGTGCCGAAGAGTGACTCACCCATAGTGGAGTATGGGGGAGCAAT